AAACCCTAAACCCTACATCCCTGAGCCTTGCGCTGCCCCAAGATGTTCTCGGATCTGCAATTCTGGCAGTTGGACCTCAGAGACCTGCCCAAACCTCAGAGCGCGGAGCCAGTTCTTAGAGGATCTAGGGTTCAAGATCTAGGGGTTTAGGGCTTAGGGTTTAGGGTTTAGGGTTTAGGGTTTAGGGTTTAGGGCAGGGCTCCGGGTTCAGGGTTGACTTTATAAGAGGGTTGATATATGCCCTAGCTGCACCTTTCAACAACCTGCAGTGCTAGGGCTCCTTATTCTGATTTCTTTATACCTATAGTCCCCATTGTAGTTCCTTTTTGGTTCATATATAGAATCCTATAAGGTAACCCCAAAAAGGAACTACTATAGGGCCTATGGGTAGTCTCCATTGTAGTTCCTTTTTTTGGTTTAACAGGTTTTATATTAAGGAAGTAAAAAGACATCCCCAAAAAAGAATTACAATGGAGACTATAGGTACCTTGTATACGTCCTTAGGGTGGGGGGGTTAAGGTAGGCCCTTACGACCAGGAGGTTTTGGCAGTTTTTCTGGTATGAGGTATTATAGGTGCCTAAAGAATTACAAATAATATCTTGAAAGGTTCCTTATTATGATTATACTAGAATCGGCTCCAAAACCCTACTTTTAAGGCCCCTACATTATGAAGTTTTGGGGATGCAAGTAGAGGCTCTAGGGATCTTTCGTGTCCATGTGGTTGTGGTTTCCCAGCTCAAGTTCCACGGTCCTCGTCATGGGCTGTTCACTTGTAAACCCAAAACCCATTTGTAGTTGGTGCTCGATGTAAGGACCAAGTACTTGAGCAGTGGCAGCTTGACGTCGTGCTGCCTGCGTTTTGCTTCCTCAATGCACTTGTCCAGCAATGCTCCCGAGGTGACGGTTAGGCTCAGAAAGGCAAGCAAAACCTACCCCAGTACCCCAACAAAAAGCCTATATTCAGTGCCGAGTACGAAGGTCTGGGACCAGTGTTAGATACCAGAAGGGTCCAGGTACCTACAAGAAGCAGGCGTTAGCCCTGAAGGTGTTCCTAGAAAGGGTGCGTAGTTGAAGGCCAGCGTATATATTCTCCAGATGATGGGACCCTGAGATGTGCATATGGAGGAAGCCACTTTGCCGAATGCTCTACGCCAAGCCAAAGGGCCGTGCAAAGCCCCAAAACCCCCAAGCCCCCAAACCCTGAACCCTAAACCCCTAAACCCTGAAGCCCGAAACCCTCAAGCCCTAAAGTCCCGAACCCTAAACCCCTAAAACCCTAAACCCTGAAGCCCGAAACCCTCAAGCCCTAAAGTCCCGAACCCTAAACCCCTAAACCCCTAAACCCCTAAACCCTGAAGCCCGAAACCCTAAAGCCCTAAAGTCCCGAACCCTGAACCCCTAAACCCCTAAACCCTAAAGCCCAAAACCCTAAAGCCCCGAAGCCAATCGCTGGAAGGCTGACACCCTGGGCTCCCCCACAGGCCCCGGAAGGGACAGCGGTTGAGGGTTTAGGGTTTGGGGTTTAGGGTTTAGGGTTTAGGGTTCAAGGTTTAGGGTTTAGGGGTTAGGGTTTAGGGTTTAGGGTTTTGGTTTCTTTTGTTCCTGCGCCGCGATGAAGAGCGTGGTTTGGTCTCTTTGGGGTGCGTCTGATGCGTATGAGATTGCGGGACGGAGCCAACCATCTCCCCAAGCTCATATGTCAGGTGTTTTGGGTTTAGGGATTAGGGTATAAAGCTCTTCCATAGCCCTCTTCGTTTGGCAAGCTGGACGAAGATGTCTCGTCACCTTCGTTCAGTCTGCAGTACAAAACCCGTGGTGGAGTTGCAAGCACCATGCCACCATGCTCAGGGGCTCTAAGGAGTCTGGCATTCCAAGTGTAGCGAAGTCTTGTCAAAGTACCCCACATAGCCTTGCAACTTCCTTTTGGATGGACACTCGTCACCGTATTGATGGTAATAAGGGCACAAGAACATGATTTTCTGAATGGCGATGCAGGTCGGGATGATGATGATGATGATGACGACGACGATGACGACGATGATGATGACGATGATGACGATGATGATGGTGTTGGTGATGGTGATGGTGATGGTGATGGTGATGGTGATGGTGATGGTGATGTACTGTCACCAACAGCTTGCGTGAACATCCTGAGCACTTCGGAACCAAATGGTGGCAGCGCCGGCTCAAGTCTCTCCGTTATGCCAGGACAAGCGCATGTTTGAACTTGATTGAGATCTTGGCATGCACTGTGGCGATGCCTTTTCGAGCAAGCTAAGCACCCACCTCAAGCAAGTGAAAATATATCTCACTCCCAGAAAATCTCCACCTACCGTGGAGAGAACTTACATAACAACCCGAGCCTGTACACTGCATAGGTCACCTCGTCTTAAACATGTCGGCATTCTGCTCACTCTGGCGATCTTCGACAGCTGGCCCGCATCTCCCTACTGCACCGAGCCCGGGTTTCGCAGTGCCCAGCCAGCTGGATGCCCACCGGGAGAGAGGTGGCTGAAACGTAGCATTCAGCTTGTGAGGATCCCCCTCGCAAACCTAAGCCCTAAGCCCCTAACTCCTGAAAACTCCCAACTCTAAATCAGGAAATCCCTACATCCCGAAACCCCTAAACCCGGAACCCTAAACCCTCGCACCCTAAACCCCTGAACCCTAAACCCTCGAACCCTGAACCCTAAAACTTTGAAGAAGCCTCCTCCAGGTCTCTCGGGCACAGTCTGCTCTGCTTTGTGTGCCTTCGGCATCGTCTGTGCCGGCATGGCATATCGCAAGGTCGGGGGCTCTCTTGGTGAATTGCGGTCTTCCGTAGGTTGAGGTTTGGGCCTTTAGGCTCTTTGGTTTTAGGTTTTGCGCCCTAACTAATCCATAGACTTCCAAACCCTAAATCCCTAAACATGCCTTAACCCTAAAGAAACAAGAAGATAAACCCTAAACTCTAAACCCTAGTCAAGCTCCTGGGGTACCCAGCACTTACTGTAGAATCTTGAAGGTGCGACGGGGCGCGCGAGGTGCTACCCAGGGCCATGTGGTGGCGACCAGTCCGGCCCAGGATTTGGCAGGTACCTTAGTTCAAGAATCAGGGACCTAGTAATCGAGTACCCAGGGCTAGATTAAACAAGTACAGGATAGGCACAGTTACTTCTAACAGTTAAGGTGCCCCAAGTGGTAGGTCAGGAGGTAGGCAGGTAGTCTTTAACCTTTCTGTTGGGCTCGGAAATGCAGTTTCCGAAGATAAGGGAGGCTGAAATCCTAGGATGCACAATATGACCACCTCTTCGGCCCTACAAAAAGCACTCCCGAATCTCCCTTAATATAATTACTTGCTTTGAGTGTGAACGATTTCGTTGCCACGGAACCCTAAACCCTAAACCCTAAAACCCTAAAGCCTTAAACCCTAAACCCTAAACCCTGAACAGGCACAGATGCCGCCTTCCAGCAAGGCGCTGCTCATGAGGCCAAAGGAGAAATCCAGGAGGCGCACTTCTAGGGTTTAGGGTTTAGGGGTAGTTCTCTAAGTTAGGGCCCCGTTTAGGGTCCTGTTCATAAGGGTGCCGCACTATTTTGGGGACCTAGACGGAACCTTTGTTTAGAGAACTACCCACCTAGGTTAGGAACGGTGGTAGTTTATCTTCCTGGGGAAGATGGGATCTAATAATCCCATTACCTTAAATAAGCATTGTATAGTCCGTATACACCCCTTATAAAGCCAGGTAGTCTCCATACTAACACCAATAACCTACAAGGGTCCAACCCTAAACCCCTAAACCCTAAACCCTATTAAGGGTCCCTCCTAAAGCCCTTAGCTGGGAAGGATTCTGTGGTTTACGGTTTATCGGGGACCCATTGGTTTCTGAAACCCCTCAACATGTCAGGAAACAGTAAGGTTTGGGGTTTAGGGTTTAGGGTTTAAGGGTTTAGGATTTAGGGTAGTCGTCCTGAGACGAAGAACGGCACATCTCGGTTGCATTTGTTGTCGGACGCTGAGGCACGGCAGTGCTTCCAGAAGTCCATGCAGGCAGGCTATCCGCGAGCAAGGACACGGCTGATCAACATCGAAGCCAGACCGCTACAGACTAGCTGTCAGTTAAAGTGAGGTGTCTCTTCTGAACATGACAAAAAGGGGAAGCCACAGCAGCATGCCTGCAGAATCATTACTTGCACTCTTTGAGTTTGCAGTGATGTTACCATAACCTGCATCCCTTAAACTGAAACCCTAAAACTCAACTCCCTAGGCCCAATGCCCCAAATTTTGGACCAGGGATTCAACAAGAGCCGAGGATATGCTGCTCTTAGATCCTGCTCTCCCTGGCAAGTTGGAGGCCTTGCTGTTGCAACAAATGTACGATCAAGAGCTTAGTGTTTAGGGTTTAGGTTTACGCCCTAAATATGGTAGAAGCCAGAAAGTTGGAACATGATTATCTTCATACCCTTAAGGTAAAGTCTAATGAGGGTTCCAGCACCATGTTCCAACTTTCTGGCTTCTACTAGAGTTAGTACTAGTAGTACCAGTCCTCATGGTTTAGTCAACCAGAGTTCACAAGCCTAAATCTAAAACACTCATGATAAGCCTAGGCCCTGCAGCAACTGCATGAGAGTCGCCAGTAGCATGCTGTCAGACGTTACCAGAGTTGCTACAGCTGGGGATTTGCGCCCTTGGCCCCAAACCCTCAACCCCGAAACCTATAGCCTAAGCCTTAAAACCTCAAGTGGGTGGTTGTCAAAATTATGGTCCCTTTTGGGGTACCCTAAATAATAGGTGCCGTATTATAATGAGGACCCAAAAAGGGACCATAATTTTGACAACCACCCAAATGAAGAAGTCCCCTAAACCCTACACCCCAAGCAGTGGAGGCCTTGTGGGTATCGGCCGCCCAGCACTATGACAGCTTCGAAGCGGAGTCGGCTGGAAGCAAAGTGGGTAGCTCTCTAAATTAGGGGTCACTTCTTAGGGCTTCTCAAAGGGATCTATAAGGGTTTGTATAGGACTTCTATAGGGGTACTACAAAGGGTAGCTCTCTAAATTGGGCTCCCCTTTCCGGTGTCAAAACTAGTACGACGCCCCTATGAAGAGGGTGCTAAAAAGGGACCCTGATTTAGACAGCTACCCGAGTATCCGAGAGCAGGTTCAGGGTTACGGTAGGGCAGAGGGCTTAGGGCATTGAGATCAATGAAAGCGGCTACCGAAACCCTCGAAAAGGACGGCGTTTCATCGGCGTTTTGGCGTTTTGAGGTTTAGGCTTAGGGCCTTGTGTGGTGTTGTTGTTTGGGTTTAGATGACTGGGGGTTCCGCATGATCAGTCTTCCCTGAGCTTTCACCCTTTATGCCATAAGTCCTAAACCTCATAGCCCCTAAGGCTGGAACCCTCGAGGCGTGATACTCTCAAGCTCGGCCAACGGCTATCAGTATACCTGTACATTATTGTTGTTGCTGTGAGTGAGCATAGCTACCTGCAGCTATGTACACATGCCCGTTATGTGTAATTACAAACATACACACTTACGCCTTTTGCTCTGGACTGTAAGCGGCCCATAGCATACCTATAGTCTCCATTGTAGTTCCCTTTTTTGGTTTAACCAATTCTATCTTAAGGGTTGTATTAGGTATCCCCAAAAAGGAACTACAATGGAGACTATAGGCAGAGTTCAGTGTTCAGTGCAACTCCTTTTGGCTTGGTTTTGCCTTTGAGGAGCTCCAGCCCTGACTGTAACTACTTGGAGGTACACGGGTAGTTATAAGTAGGGTTTATGGGGTTCCTTTAAGGGTTCCTTTAAAGGGTTCTATAGGGTTTAGGGTTTAGGGGGTAGATATAAGTGGAGTTATAAGTAGGGTAACGACTTTACTTATAACCCATATTAGGGGACTTATAACCCTACTTATAACTACCCATGAACCTCCAAGTATCGGCTCTCCACTTTGAGCCCATGCCCTCAAGTCGAAGTCTTGAAGCGCCATTTTAGGGTTTAGGGTTTAGGGTTTAGAAACAGCTCCTTTAAAGACTAAACCCACATGAGGTTCCTACGCACCGGCCACGTCTCCGAGGACTCGCGGGCGCTTAGGTCCGTAGCCTAACAGCGCAGTAACACCCAGACCTAGACGCCTGAAACTTAGATTGTTGACCTCTGGAAAAGGCTTAGTTGAGACAACGAGGAGACCCTAAACCCAAAGCCCTAAACACCAACATGTAGCCAAGGCGCCTAAGCCCAAAGTCCCGACATGACAAACCTTATCACCCCCTGCAACAACTAAGACCGTGTCACACCCTTATATACCACAACCCCCTCGTCTCCGACCTTGATGAACCCTTTGCACAAGTGCCACGACAACTCCATCTATAGGCTACAAAGCCTTCATCCCAAAACTTAAACCCTAAACCCTAAAAGAATACCTAAAGCCCTAAACAAACAAATCCTATAGAAACCCTGAAGGCCCTATCCGTTTTTTAACCCCAAACCCTAAACCCAACCCTTCGCCCCCCCTAAACCCTAAACCCTAAACCCTAAACCCTATAAGCCCTAGACCCTAAACCCTAAACCCTCAACCCTAAACCCTAAACCCACCCACCCCCCCTTCCCCCCAACCTTTCCCCCCCGCGTCTTTGCCAGGAGTCCTGGCAGCACCTGGAGGCCGCAGCGACTGAGTTGACGGAGCTCGCGAAGTTCAACTTGGGGGACCCCTGGGCGAGCAAGGGCTCCTTTAAGGGTTTAGGTTTTGGGATTTTAGGATTTATAGGGTTTAGGGTTTGGGATTTAGGATTTAGGATTTAGGGTTTAGGGGAGGGGATCCTTTAATTTGTTCTACACAGAAAAAGGCAGTCCCACAAACCCTGGTATATTGCCTCTAGGAGCCAATTAAGGAGCACTTGAGGGAAGCCTTCAGAGACAAATTAGCCCTGCAACTTGAGGAGATGGAGTTCTCGGTTTTTGGGTTCCTTTACGGGATTAGGGACTCTGGTGTTTCAGCCAGGGTTTTTGGGTTTAGGGGGGTTCAGGGATTTAGGGTTCAGGGATTCGGGTTGAGAATTTAGTTTTATGGTGTAGGGTTTAGGATTTGAGATTTAGGATTTAGGGTTGAGGGCTGCAGGGATTGAGGGCAATGTTTGGATCGTCGGTTCTCCGCTCCTACAGGAAAGGGTTTAGGGTTGAGGGTTTTGTGGGGGTTTAGGGCGCAAATTACCATCATAAACTTTCGATACTGTAGTCTTTGATACTTTCCTTACCTTTTGGGTACTGAGCTTCCTTGGGAGGGGTGCAAGGTCTGAGAATGGAAAACCGGAAGGACGGTGCAAGCCGATTTGCCGTATGTAACGCAAGAAACAGGAGAGGCCGTGATGAAATTAACATCAGAACTCTGCATGTGAGCCGTGTTGTCGTATGCTATTGTTATAAGGCCTGGAACTAGTTACACCCCAGCCCCCCCGGAACCTACGTCATCTTCATGGCTCAGCCTTGCCGCCATCAACACTACCATCGTCATTACCGTGTTCATCATTACCATCATCGTCACCGTTGTAAAGTTATTCTTCAGTGTCATCTTCATCTTTTGCATTCTCGGTTCCCTGGAATCCTCAATCCTGAAACCTACTTGGGAGGATCAAAAGGGGCCTAATTGGGGCCTGTGCTAATCATAACTATAGTATAGGGGTCTTATAAATAACCCGAGCCACAAAGTCCGATGACCCCTTGACCCTAATCTTTGAATCCGAAGGATTGGCGCATGTACCAACTGTACGGGCGGCTTTTGGACGTCTACACGGTGCTTTCACGGGACACGCTGCTCGGCCGTTCTTCCAGGAGTTCTGCGCTTTGGCATTTTTGTGTTCCGGTTTATTTGTTGGGGAGTAGGCTTTTTGGCGAGGTTACGTTTCAGTTTAAGCTTCAACACTGAGGAAACTGTGCGGGATTATGTTTTGAGTTTTGTACAACCCTGACATTGGCGTTGGTTGCAAGGGAGTTGTTTCCAAGGCTTGAAACGGGTTGTATCTTAATAATATAGGGGCCTTAAATAATTAGAATAGGGTTTTGGGGCCCATTCCACGACAATAATAATTACCTATGTTATTTTGGGGATTCCTTATTATAAGTGAAGCATGATGGGTCCTAGAACCCTATTCTATTTATTCAGGCCCCTATATTAGATGTGTCGGTTGCCAGCCCCAGAATTCCATGCCTGCCTTGGCCAGACAGTCCAGAACATCAATGTGATGAATGCATGCCTTTGCCGACGAGTATGCCCTAAACCCAGAACCCTAATCCTTTAATGTGAAGCTAGTTGACATGTAGAGTCCTGATTGTAAGGACTTCTAGGCACCACTGAATCTAGGAAATGAAGAACAGCCGAGGAAGCACGTGGCCCTTGCCGCTCAGTGGGCTGTGCAACGTGCAGTACATCCTCTTGGGCAAAATGCTTACGCCACTGAGGAGGGTTGTTGGTCTCCAATAAACCCGGGACTGTGCAGATTGATGGGGTTCTGGGTTAGAGGCTTGTCGGGCTCTTAGCTTTTTGTCTGGGGGTCTAGGGTCAATTTTGGGGACTGTGCTGAGGAGCAACCAGCTCCCCGACAACCACTCACAGACAGAACCAACACCCTGTAAGCCTATGAACCCTAAAGCTTGAAGACAATATACAGCTCCGACACCCCCTCTCCCTAATTTGCAATGGGTCGCATTACCAGGAGTCATCCGAGAAAGACGATTTCAATCAAGCGATCACTGCGGCCATGCTGTGTCTGGGGTTTCGAATGATAGACTGTGGTTTGGGCTTCAGGGTTTAGGATTCAATCGCTTCGAGTGTTAGTTGTACGGATTTTCGACCTCGTGCTTGGCGTCTTTTGCGTCCATGCTCTGGGGTGAAAGGATTCTTAGACAGGGTAGGATTGGGCATTTACGGTCTTCGATGTGTCGTCGCCAGTCAAACTGTAGACTCCGAGGTACTACCGCAGGATCGGGGATCAAGAGAGGTTGCAGAATGCCATGGAGTTTGCCAACAAGCACCCTTATGCGGCTACGCACTATCAGAACTCCTGGCAGTGGCCTTGCTGAATGTGAAGACCTCATCTTCGGCATTCCTTAACCCAAATTCTTGATTGAGCCCTGAACCCGAAAACCCTAAGCCCCAAAAACCATAGCCTTAAGCCCTTAAAGTCCTAAACCCGGAAACCCTAAAGCCCTGGGCCCCAAACCCCCGTCAATCCCAAGGCCCCAGGAAGCGACAGCAAGCGACTTTCTCTCTTTTGGGTGTTGGGGGCAAGGGTGCGGCGGCTTGCTGCAATCTTGGGGCATTAAAGATTTGAAGGGGGCTTGGGGGCTGGGTTGAGTACAGTTGTTCAAGGACTATACGGAGAGTAGTACCAGCAATTCAGACCGGGATTTACGGGGTGTAAGCTGCCGTCGCTATCCGTCTCCATCGCCCTGACAGAAAGCCAATCAGTAAGCATCATGTCACGCAACCTTTTTGTGCCGATGAGACTGCAAGGCAGTCTAGCTGAAGCCACACCTAAACCCTAAACCCTAAACCCTAAACCCTAAACAAGCCCTCAGCCGAAAAGTCCCCCAAAGCCAGGACGCCCCGCACTTTTCATCCCGGCTACCGTGGCCAGCCCTGGTGGGAGGCCGATCTAGTAATATAGGGTTTAGGGTTTAGGGTTTAGGGTTTATAAGGTTTAGGGTTTAGGGTTTAGGGTTTAGGGGCTTGAATAATTAGCATAGGGTCTTGGGGTTCCGTTAAAGGGCTCCTTAAAGGGCTCTACTATCAGGGAGTAATATAGGTCCTTAAGAATTAGAATAGGCTTCCTTTAAGGGTTCCTTTACAAGGGTTACTATAAAGGGCTACTATAAGGGTTTAGGGTTTAGGGGCCTTAATAATTAGACTAGGGTTTTGGGGGTTCCTTTACAGGGTTCCTTAAAGGGTTCTATAAAGGGTACTATAAGTGTTTAGGGTTCAGGGACCTTATAATCATTCGAATAGGGTTTTGGGGGTATATAAGGCTATAATCAAAATCAGGAACCCCAAAAATGTATAGGTAATTCTTCGGGACCGATATTAGAGGGTTTGTGAGTGCCTGAGAGGTGCCGGGACCTTGGACTCGACAATCTGAAGCCACGAGCGCGCGCGCGAGATCCCACCCCTAAACCCTGAACCCTAAACCCTAAACCCTAAACCCTAAACCCTAAACCCTAAACCCTGAACCCTGAACCCTGAACCCTGAACCCTAAACCCTAACCTGAACCGTAAGCCTGATCCGGCTTGCTTCTTTGAAGGGGTGGAGGCCGAACCCCGAATATAAACCTTAAATGCCCCGAAAGCATAGAACACCCAAGCCCGGATCCATTCCTTTACAAGAGCCCTCAGCACAAAACCCAAAGCATCCCTACTTGGAGGTGCATGGGTAGTTATAAGTAGGGTTACAAGTCCCCTAATATGGGTTATAAGTATAGTTACCCTACTTATAACCCCACTTATAACTACCCATGAACCTCCAAGTAACCCCTTCGTCTCAGGGCGACTCTTTTCAGCTGGTTCAGCGTCTGGAGGGGGGTTGGAAGGACCCAGACACCCGCGCCAAGATTCCGGGCTGCTACTTACGGGATGAAGGGTCTGCTTGGAAGGTTCTTTCTCAATATTTATACCGAGTTCTACAAGGATCTCAAGAAGGTTCAGGTTTTGGTGTGTACCCTGAAGGGTACCTTAAGGGTTTATGGGCTCAAAGGAACATGGGATATAGAAATCAGCGCGATGAAATCCCCCCCGTTGCGAGGTTTCTGCCCACACGCCAGCTTTCCCTGCACACACTATTTGTTTTGACTTGACATGAAGAGCAAGTCTGTGAAGCCCTTTCCAGATGTGTGAGACCCCTACTGACCTTACTGACCACTTTGCGAGTCCCAAAATCCAACAACAAAGCCCCTCAACTCCAAAATCCTAGCCCCCCCGAATCCAAACGTCTTCAACCCTAAACTCTTGACTCTTGAACCCAAAGCCCCGAAGCCCATACCTGTTGAAGGACTATCTACGGACATTAAATGAAGGAGCCCTATCAGCCCGAATCTCTGGGGTCCAGGTAAGCCCTAGATCCTGAACCCCACCTTTAAAGCCCATGCAGGATCGCTGAAGAGCTCGACACTAAACCCCAAACTCGAAGCCCCTAAACCCTAAACCCGAAAGCCCGAAATCCCGAAACCCCTAAAGGCTACCCTACCGTTAAAGCCCAGGATCACTGAAGAGCTCGACACTCTCCTTAGTAAGGGAGCCTTCGAGCGGGTCTTCTCGCCTTCAGCGCTGGTGGTACCGGGCTCCGTGAACGAGGTCGGAAGGTTTCAGGGCTGTGGGATTTAAGGGTTTAGGTTTAGGAGTCTAGGGGTTTAAGGGGTTTTGAGGTTTTGGATGAAACCCTAAACCCTAACCTACGAGGCCTCTAGGATGTAGATTTAATTAAGATCGCGGAATCCCAGCATTTTCGCAGTGGTCATCAGGATTAGTGGTTTTAATCCTTGCAAGGTGGAGGCGGATATGTTTTGTTGAGGACTGCTGGCTATCCCATGTTTGGCAGTCCCACAGCATGAATGCGCACCGAGGCCTCAGCCATAAACCCTAAAATGTAGCGGCTGCTCACCTAAACTGACAACGCGCCCGCGCGAGTCTGGACTACTAGTGCCAGCAGGAAGGCAAGATTTAAGGTCAACAGATGACAACCATAGCTGAGCTTACTGAAAGTAACCCTAACCAGCCAGGTACCTACTGGGGCTCTAGTAACCTATATAGTAGGTACCTGGAAATCTAGAGTAAGTTGGCGGGTTTCAGCCAAGGGTGACTAGGCGCCGACTGCGCCGGCGAACCTGAAACCCTAAATAAAGCCCTTCAGCCCTGAACTCTGCTAGAAATATCAACCTACCTACAGTCTCCATTGCAGCTCTTTTTTGGGGATACCTTATTTGTTAAACCAGAAAAAGGAACTACAATGGAGACTATAGGTAAAACCTTAAACCCAAAAGCTTAAGCCTTAATCCCTCGACCCTAAATTTAGATCTTGACTTCACACCCCAAACCGAAATCTTAATCCCTATGAACCCCTGTAGGACCGCAATGGAGCCGAATGGTCAGAATACCTCCTCTACGATCCCAAGAGCGTTAAGCTGGACGAAGCGAAATGCGCCGGAATTCCGACTCTGTCCTCTTTGCTGCGAGACCCATCGAACAAAGTTGCTCGGAAAAGGTTAGGGCTTTTGGGTTTGGAGGCTCAGGGTGATGGGTTTCATGAAGGGGTCAGGGGTTAAGGATTTTGGGAGCACGGGTTTCATGCAGACTGGGGTATCGTGTTCCCTACATAAACCTGTTGGCCTGTCGGTCCTACCCAGCGGTACTGGACAGGTGTCAATAATGGTTCAAATGGTGATATACCCACGATCACGATCGTGCGACTGCAACCTGATCTTATGAAGACGAAGAAACCTGACCCACAGTTGTACTAGTGCTGTAATCACCATCATACGACTACAGCTAGTGTTACGAACGCGGAGGACAGTGGGAAGCCTTCCACCCCTACCTCTTAAACTGGCAGATCTACACCCCCAAACCCTATAAACTTTAAACTATCGGCTTTGTACGAACTATGCCCCTGAACCCTGGACTTTGACCCTATACATAAGCTTACATGCTATGTGACACTCAAAGGGTTGACAGGAGCAGCTAGATGCCGTAGAAGCTATGCCCTATATTATATGCCCTACCTATAGTCTCCATTGTAGTTCCTTTTTGTTGGCTTAACCAATCATACATTAAGGAGTTTATAAGGTATCCCCAAAAAGAACTACAATGGAGACCATAGGTAAACCTGAGTTCAAAAGATGTCTACGCCGACACTCCTCAACTTGGATACACAAACCTTCAAGCATCCTACCTTTGTCCCCCAAATCTCGTAGGACGCGGTTCGCGAAGATCAACTCGACTTGTGAGCCAAACCCTCTAAACGCCTATGTCCACTCCGACACTTCATCCCTTAAAGGCCCCAATCACCAAACCCTAAACCCCATAAGCCCTAACCATATAAACCCTAAACCCTGGAACCCTGTAAGCCCTGAACTATACAAACTCTAAGCCCTAAACAAGGACGCGGTTCACCCGGAGATCAACAAGTCCACGGTTGTTAGCATCCTTTCCCTCGATCCGGGGGCCCGGATTATGCCGCACTGCGGCGCGGCCCGGCCGAGAAAAAGGGGATTTGGGGTTCAGGATTCAGAGTTTATAGGGTGTGTTAAGTTTTATTCGGCTTCATTAGGGTTTCGGGTTGAGGGTTGAAAATAGCATCCTCTTATAGTCCTTGAATTAAAGGAAAATTTCTATGTACACTGAATATACGCCCCCCCCCCCAGACCCATTTCGAATCATTGAGATCCTGACTTTTGCAGTTTCAGGTTGGGGCTAATGAGGGTCTAGGTGGGGTCTAGCCCTAATCCCTAAACCTTAAACCCTAAAACCCAAACCCTAAACCCTAAAACCCTATACCCTATAAACCGTTAGGACTCCGGATATGGGTTTCAAGAGCCTCTTGTTTACGTCCGCAGTTGAGGGTTGGAGTTCGGGCTTGTTGGTTTTAGTGGGGTTTTGGCGGGGTGGTTCAGGATGTGCGTTGAAAGGTTCCGGGGTGGTTTTAATTGTTTGCTTAGATTTCAGGGGGCTGTCTGGGGTGTAAATTCGGGCCTTGAGGCCCGTCCGATTTTGGAGTACAGAGGTTTCTGCTTGCGCAAGTTCAGTGCTTCGTGTTTAGCGACTTCTTGTGTCACTTGCCCAACCCGATCTGCATCCTCTGCCCTTCCTACGCTCTTCCAGTTCTCGACTACACCAAATGGCAGCGTCCAAGGCTTGATGATGTGGAAGTTTCTTAGGACTTAAGGCTTTATCTAATGGGGGAATATAGGCCCCTGTAAAGGGCTTCTTCAATCACAGTTGAGCCGACCCTGAAACTCTACCAAAAGTACGAAGGCCCCTTCATTGCCCCCCTGCGCGTGTTCAGCTAAACCCTAAACCCTAAACTCTAAACTCCAGCCCCTAAACCCTAAACCCTAAACTCCAGACCCCAAACCCTAGCCCAGGTGACGAACCGACAGCTGGTCATGCACTTTGCCTTGAAGGGCTCCGACGGTGTGGGGTTCACGGTGGCTGGGGAGACGAGGGGTTATGGCGGGGATGGTCATGCCATCGTGCTCCCTGGTCTCGTTTGGGCCAACATGTTTCGGGTGTTCTTTGGGCTTGGCTCTATATAGGCTTGGAGTTGAGGTGTTGAGCGTAGGATTGTTCTGTAACCTCGAACCTTTGCAGTTTGATAGCTTGCAGCAGACTCGAATCTCGCCGGTTTATGAGTGCCTATTCTCTAGAGATCCAAAGTCCGCAAACCATGAGCAGCATTGAATACTGATCCAACGTTAAGCCCAAACACGCGAGGTTCGACGACAGCTTTGAGCACAGCGTGTACCACGCTGGCAAAGAGCGGCGATATATCCTCTTCGCAATGCTCCGTCACCCAGACAGTCCTGCGGATGCTTAAACAGCAGGTGCGTGCGAAAAGGAGCCGTTGACAACCGTGCCGGAGTGCTGTTGATGTTGACCTCATGTCAATATGCCTACCTCGAATGCTTGAAAGCTTAAATTCAGGCTTCATGAACTTCGACTATACAATATACTTCATTATGATCTACCCTATGTCGCTAACGTTTATTTGTATATAGTATGGAGTCTCAATCCTACACCCCAGAACTCAAAGTAACAAGGCGTAGGCAGCACCACGCCCGAAAAAAGCTAGGCACCAAACCTTAGGGTTTCGGGTTTAGGGTTTAGGGGTTTAGGGTTTAGGGGTTTAGGGTTTAGGGGTTTAGGGTTCAGGGTTTAGGGGTTTACGGTTTAGGGTTTAGGGTTTAAGTTCGACCTTAGACATCGAAAGAAGGCCCGTAAGCCCCCAATACTATCAAGCAGCCCGAAACTTGCAGAATCACACCGGGACACAAGAACTTGAGAGTGTAGCTTAGGGTTTAAGATTTAGGGTTTAGGGTTAACCCTCACCCCCTGAGCCCCCACCTCCCTAAATTGCACTCCCTGACAGAAACCTCTGCACTGAAGACCTCGCGCCCCAAGCCCCTACACCCTAAACCCAAGACACCAATACCCTGCGAAACCGCTGCCCTTCTTATCATGAAACACCCTAAACCCTAAACCCTAAAACCCTAAAACCCTAAACCCTAAAGCCCTAAGCCCTAAAACCCTAAAACCCTAAACCCAAAACACCCTAATGCCCCCAGGCCCTCGAGCCCTAAACCCTGCAGCCCCGAACCCCAAAGCCACAAAGTACGCGTAGAACCCTTTGAGAGGCCCTGAACCAGGTTTAGGGTTTAGGGTTTAGGGTTCTGAACCAGAAATACCCTACATTGAAAACCTTAATTTTACAAAAACCTGATAGAACCCCTTGAGAATTCTTACGAAGGCCCAAACGAACTTCAATTGAAAGTCTGATACCGTAAACCCCAAACGCCCTAAACCTTTCTGAAACCCCAATCTCCAAACCCTAAACCCTAAACCCTAAACCCTAAACCCTAAACCCAAACCCTAAACCCTAAACCCCTAAACCCCTAAACCCTAAACCCTAAACCCATAACCCCTAAACCTGCGCCAGCTCCTTGCCTGCCACGTGGCCACGCGCTGTAAGCAGCTGGACGAGCAGCAGAAGAACCTGCTGGAGGCCAGTGGCTTCATGAGAGCTTTGGGGGGCTCGGGGGTTCGGATTTAGGGTTTAGGGGGTCTGGGTTTAAAGTTTAGGATTATAGAAGGCTTGCTTTAGTTAGTACGGCGATCAGGTCTTCATGGTTTAATGAAGGCGGTTTTGCAAGGGTTTACACGGCTCCCACTGCGTTTTTATAAGGTGTAGTGGTGTCGCAACACCTAAACACCAAGCCCAAAGCCTTCAACCCTGCACCCGAACTCCGCCAGAACAGGACTCGTCTTGCAGCCTCTGTTAGGGTTTTGGGTTTAGGGTAACTGTAAGCTGTCTCGGGTCTAGTAAGGGACGATGGACAGAACGGTGCCGAAACGTAACCTTGAAACATATCATTTGATGGGTAGTCCTCCCGTCTACATTCTAGATTCGCGGGCAACATTGGTTTTGTATTTACTGAGGGCGAAGAATGGGACTCCTCAATTAGAGGACCCTCCGCCCATACTTGGGGTTTAGGGCTGGTTTAGGGTTTAGGGTTGATATTTTAATTCAGGACATATAAAGCTCGCAACAGTTGGAACATGAGGGCTGATACGGCAACGTACGAGCCTGAATATTTGCCAGTGCGATTGCTTAGGGTTCGGGGCGTTCGGGTTCCATTGCTTGGGGTTCCTTTTACACTTGATCAGAGTATCACATACCCCTATGCCCCCAAGCCCTCGTCTCACTGTTGAAGAACTACAGTGCATCTGCTGGATAAGAAATGCCAGCTTCCAGCGTTGGGTACCCTTCATTTCTTAGCTTCCTTTCACTTTCAGATTTCCACATTTCTCAGGTCCCGAATCGTTGGGTACCCTTCATTTCTTAGCCGGGGCTCGAGCCCCTGGAAGTCCACCAACTGAGCCCATGGCGTTAACCATTCGGCCAGACAGACACCGCCAAGACAGTATTACAGTGGACTTCAGTCTTTGGTTGGAAACCAGCCAAAATAAGAAACGNNTTTGGCTCCTGCCGTGTGCCCTAGGCTTAGGGCTTGGAAACCAGCCAAAATAAGAAACGTAGCACCCTACATTTCTTATTTTGGCCTCTGCTTCATGTTGTAGTGTCACGACCTGGAAAGCCCCGAAATAGGAAATGATCCCCAAACGTTGGGTACCCTTCATTTCTTAGCTATAAGGCAGTTTAAGATTTCGGTTTTTTGATGCTGTCCGGCTGACGTAACCCCTACGTTTCTTGTCCAATCGTTTCTTGTACAGTGATTGCACTATACATTCCAGCGCAGGGAACCCCGACGGTGCCATCTAAGGGCATGCAGATAGTGATTTTCCAACCTTGTTGGTTTAGGGCTTCGTTTAGGGTTTAGGGTTTGGGGCTCTTGGTTTAGGGCTTTGTTTAGGGTTTATTGTTTGGGGTTCTTGGCTTAGGGCTTTGTTTGGGGTTTCTTGGCTTAGGGGCTTTGTTTAGGGTTTGGGGTTTAGGGTTGCTTCTCACTGAAGATCTTGAATGAGGGATTTTACCTGCGCTGTCGTGAGGAGAACCGGGCAAACCTTGCCGAGATCAATCGGCTCCGGCAAACGGTGCCTTTGGCATGCTGTGGTTTAGTGTTTAGGGTTTAGGGTTCCGTGTTCGAAGGTTCCACAATGGTCTTCTCGGGATCTATAGCCGTTCTACAGGGCTTTTTGCTTCAGGGCCTGTTTAGGCTCTGAGATACCACCTTTTCATCCCAGCCTCATTACGCGGGCAATCCTTCTGAAGCCGAGGATCTCGCAACTAAGCACAGCTCAGCAGCAACAGCAGCAACAACACCAAAAGCAAGCAGGCTCGTCATCCCCGGCACATGCTACTGCAATGGCACGTGACGACATGCGCTTGCACAGAGCTTCATATCTGATTCCCTTCACTGGGCTCAATGGCTCAATGGATGTTGTGTTTGAAGCATTCTTGGAAACCACTTCGACTGAGGAAGCCTTCATCTTGAAACCAAAAATGGAGCAGTCCAAAGATCTGGGTAATTATTTAACAGGGCGACCCTAATTGGCATGGGCATGGGAGGTATATTTAGTATATGTAGCACCAAGGGTACCCTGTATGGCTTCTCGGAACTCTGAGTCCTCTAGGATGCGAGTCTGGTGCCTAGTTCCCCAAGCATCCTGGCACAAGGATTGGAGGTAAGCTGGTTAGGGACGTGTAGCGACTTTTCTTGATGGGCACATTGCTTGAATTTGTTTGTGTGCGTGTGTGAATGCATGAACTTCCCCGTTTGTGGATTGTTGCAGGGCTGGCATGCAAGGTTTTTGCTGCCTTTGGGCGGGGTCACCGTTCTGATGCTCACAGATTTGCCAACGGAGATATTTGGCATATCATGCAGTTCTTCTGTGGCTTTGCGCGTGTGTGCGTCGTGTGCCGGCGCGGGACATGGCGGCAGGCTATGCCGGAAACCTCCAATCAGAGAAGTGTGAGTGTGTGCACCTGCACGGGAAATGGCCGGAGGCCAAGCCAGAAACCTCCAATCAGAGAAGTTGCATACAAGCTCACAAGCAGTCTAATTTGTTGATCCTGTTCATCCATGAACACGGGCATACCCCGAGGGTCGAGTCACGTGTGGGTGGGTGTGTGTGTGTGTGTGTGTGCGCTTCTCTGTGTGTGCTTTTCGGTTGCGCATGCTATGTATAAAGCTTTGGCCGTGGAGTTCGTTTAGTGTTGGTGCGTAATTGCAGCTTAGCTGCGATGATGTGAGGATTGGGGGGGCGATGTCGGCTTGCGCTCGAACGGCTTGCTTCGCTGAGAAAGATTCAATCCTATGTCGCCTACGGCGCTGGACGGTTGGTTGACCCGAATCACTCAATGTGTGCTTCGATAGGTTCGCGTTTTGACCTTCATTTGCATTTTTATAGTTGGCAGGGTGTTGGAATCAGTCATGTTCCTCCACGTGCCGTCAGTTGGCACGCAGCACCAGCAGATGTGCTTAAAGTCGCGACCAGTAGCTTAGACTGATGAGACTTGTGTCCAGGTTTACATTCCAGCAAACCAGCCAGACATGTATACCGTTGCGTTTAACCTACAAGATCCTGAACCTTCAGCTGGTATCGTGCTGCTTTGAAGGTACGACAGCTTCACGCCAAACTGGAGGCAAGCAACATTTTCCATTCTTATACTGGAAAACATCTTTCCAACTTCAAGTTACTATGATAGGTGGCACTCACTATCAACATAGCAGCATCTTGCTGGAAATAGCAAGAAGCGTAGCAAGTTTATGTTCTTCGGTTTAGTTCGGGAAGAGGGTCTAGGAGTTGAGTGTGGTAGGCTTGGGGGTTTGGCGCCTTTTCAATTTTTTCAAAGGACGAGAAAGTAAGGGCTTACCGGTCAGGGCGCAAGAAGGGAGGCGGAAGGCAAGACCTGCGGCGACATGTTGCAACGTGAATTATGTTGTGTGGGGTTGGATCACGTTCCATTACCACCCAGATCGTCAGGTACGACCGCACTTGCAGGTCTTTTGTTTCCTAATTATGCCCCTGACCCGATTCCTGTTTTGGGGTTCTGTTGAGACTCCGGTGCTTCGAATTCGGGAGTCAGTATTGTATTAAGTTGTCATGTTAGTCGGATTTTCGATGGCTGAAGGACAGCAGCACTGTAATTTGGTTCTAACCGTACTACAAAGGATTGTGCCAGCTGTGGTAGTGCCACTGGTTTCCCTGTTATAAGCTTTTCTTGGGCTTATTATGGGGCTCTCTAGGGCTTGTTTTAGGGTTTTCGGGGTTTCGAAGGTTTTGGGGTTTTCAGGGCTTTATACCAGCATCCTTTCGTCTGGTTGGTCCGAAGAAGAGAGCTGTATGCAGAGAGAA